ATCTGTCACCACCCCAAAGTGTCCCCTGATCCATCTGTCACCACCCCAAAGTGTCCCCAGGTCTGTCTGTCACCACCCTCTGCGTCATCAAATCCACCTGTCACCACCCCAAAACGGCCCCAAATCCGTTTGTTGCTGTCTCTGAATGTCCCCAAATCCCCGTCACACTTTTAAATATCCCCAACCGCCCCTGATGTCCCCAAAACGTCCCCTCTGTGTCCCCAGAGTTCTGTGAGAACCTGTCCCCGGACTGTCGCGAGGCCGTGATCATGGGCCAGATCCTGCCCTGCATCAAGGTGAGGCACTGGGGACCTGGGGGCACCTGGGACACCTGGGGACACCTTTTGGCACCTCCCAGTGGCCTCAGGGCCCGTGGGGGTGCCCTCAGGTGTCAGTGTGTCCCTACCTGTCCCCACCTGTCCCACCTGTGCTCACCTGTCCCCCCGTCCCAGGAGCTGGTGTCCGACGCCAACCAGCACGTGAAGTCGGCGCTGGCCTCGGTGATCATGGGCCTGTCCCCGATCCTGGGCAAGGACAACACGGTGGAGCACCTGCTGCCCCTGTTCCTGGCACAGCTCAAGGACGAGGTGGGGCACCTGGGGGCACCTGGGCACACCTGGGGGCACCTGGGCACACCTGGACCACACCTGGGGGCACCTGGGGACATGTGGGGGACATGGGGGACACAGAGGGCACCTGCTGCCCCTGTTCCTGGCACAGCTCAAGGACGAGGTGGGGCACCTGGGGGCACCTGGGCACACCTGGGGGCACCTGGGCACACCTGGGCACACCTGGGGGCACCTGGGGGCACCTGGGGACACGTGGGGGACATGGGGGACACAGAGGGCACCTGCTGCCCCTGTTCCTGGCACAGCTCAAGGACGAGGTGGGGCACCAGGGACATACCTGGGGACACCTGGGGACACCCCTCCCAGAGCCCCCCAGTGACCCCCGGTGTGTCCCAGTGCCCCGAGGTGCGGCTGAACATCATCTCCAACCTGGACTGCGTGAACGAGGTGATCGGGATCCGGCAGCTGTCCCAGTCCCTGCTGCCCGCCATCGTGGAGCTGGCCGAGGACGCCAAGTGGAGGGTGCGCCTGGCCATCATCGAGTACATGCCGCTGCTGGCCGGGCAGCTGGTGAGACTGGGAGCACTGGGAGGGACTGGGAGGGCTGGCCTGGCCATCATCGAGTACATGCCGCTGCTGGCCGGGCAGCTGGTGAGACTGGGAGCACTGGGAGGGACTGGGAGGGCTGGCCTGGCCATCATCG